CCCACACTCACTCACCCCAACACCCTCATTCACTTTGCACCCACATCATACACCCAATCTACACCTACTCTACATCCACACTCTGTATGCTATCAATTGTTTATTCTTGACGCATTCTTTTCATTTTCGGTTTTTCACCATAGAAACTATAATTTTCATTTTAATATTATTTGAACATAACTTCTGATAATGATGTAGCAGAGAATCTGTGATGTTTGTCATTCATGATTTTTTTGACTTCAAAAAAAATCTCTTGTAGTTCAGTGAAAATACCATTATTTTTCGTGTTTTGAATTTTATGAGAAGCTTTTAATGCAGGAATACACTGCGTAGACTAAAATATTCAACTGTATTCTTTCCTTTCTTTCTTCTTTTTTTTTTTTTTTATTATGCGAAATTTAACCCTCTGACCATGTCGGTCCTAAAGCGACAGTGTAGCTTACAATTAACAGGTTACACAAAGAGAGAGAAAAGCAAGCATAAGCATAGCGGAGCAAAGCAAGGAATATAATGCATGTTTTATGTGGCCATTCAACGAAACATTGAAACACGACCTTCCAACGTGCACATACATTTCACCGAGATAATATACGATGTGTCTAAACAGATTGCTTTTGGACGATAAGATCAAAGCCAGTAAGCTTGTACAATATATTTTTAAGACCGTGGCGCTTGTTCGGGGAGGAGGAATAGAATCTCGTACGCTCTAGTTCCGAGTCAGAGACGTACCCCATTCAGCTAGGACTCCCCGTTTCCTTTCTTTTTGTTTGTGTATTGTTCATTATATTTTTGTATTATTTAAGATGAAAATAAAAACAAGTGACTCAGTCATTTCTTTTTTTTAGGTTTTTGATATTTAGTTTTTCTTGGTTGTAGATTGAAAGATATCACATGGCTAAAGCAATGCAATCTGGTGACAAGTCTCGCTTCACTGATCTTTACAATGAACCTGTTGATCATCTTTTATCACCAATAAAAGGTTATCAAGATAGACCACTTGTTACACTTCCAGAAGCTATTGAACCAGTTGCCGGATTTTTTAATGAAATTGAAGACAATGTCTTTGTTGCATTGCATAACTGTCAAAATCCAGCTGATGGATTAGACCAACAAGAATCAGCTTCTATACACCTATATACAATGCAATTTAGTGGCGGACCAAGTTTGTACTTGTTGCTTAACAAATCATTACGTGCTGAGAATCGTGAAGAATTGCAACCATGGTTCTCGTATCTTAAATTATTTCTCACGGCTTTGCATAAGTTACCATCACGAAGTGGAACAGTATGGCGCGGTATTCGAGATGTTGATTTAAGTTCAAAATACAAAAAGGACACTAAATTTGCTTGGTGGGGAGTAAATTCGTGTACTGTTGATATTGAAGTACTTGAATCAGAGCAATTTTTGGGTAAACATGGAAAACGTACTCTCTTTTCAATTGAATGCATTAATGGAAAATCTGTTGCCGCACACTCATATTTGAAGAATACTGAAAAAGAAATTATTCTTATGCCAGGTTCATATTTCGAAGTCATAGGTCAATTAAATCCAGCACATGAACTTCACATTATTCAATTGAGAGAAATTACACCACCTATTGCATTTGTTAAGCCACCATTTTCAAAACCAAATGAACAAAAACCTCTTCCGATTGTTGATCAACCAAGTGCATTATTTCCATCGACATCAACAAAGAAGACATCAGTGAAACAACCTGCCAGTGGTGCTTCAAAACAAATGCCATCAATGAAGCCAGGTATGAAGAGTGTACCTGTGGGTGTGGATGGATGCAGCTGTGGAGTGGCATATGTGTGTTGAGTGTGGATCTTATCCTCTCGTTATTTCCATACACACCCACATCCATCTTGCCCTCTGCTTTTACTTTTAGTTAAGTGTTTCATATTTATTCTTGTGTTGTTTACCAAAATGAAAAATGAAATTCACACTAAAATACGGAAAACGTCCTAGAATAAAGACTATTGTAAGAACTATTCTAATTCTATAGTTATGTACTGTTTAAAACACTACATAGTATTGTAAAGATCTCTTGCGTCAGTTACGGGTCCTACTAGGAAACATAGCCAAGTGCCGAAGCGCTTTTCATCTGAGATTTAGTACATCTTGTAGAGCTTAGTGACCTTCGACTATCCTAAAACCAGTTTAGGTCCATGACTTGTTTCTGAATAGAACGAACGTTTTTAGCATTGTAGCTGGTTATTTCCTCAGTATCTGAACCACATTATACAGAAGAAGATTTCCAATTTTGATGGAATTTTCAGCGTTTGTAGAGCTTTCAATTTTGAGCATTTTGATAAGAACAGGTTTTCAAAACGCTTTTGTTTTGATGAAGATACACTCGAAATATACCATAGATCGATAGAAAAAATATTATTCAATGCTAATATGGAATGGGGATAAAAACTAACGTTAGATGACATGTGAAGATATAATGATAAAAATAATTTTACTAACCTTATATTTAGACGAATTGTAAAATTGTATATGCAGAAGATGTCGGATGCATCCGAACCAGAGACGAGAACAGGCAGGGCAGGATAGTCAGAACAGGACAATAAGCAGGACAAACATGGCATCTTTAATGTTTAATTAAGTACATCAAATATCACATGTTTCGATCATCTTGTAATCAATTTATTTCATAACTGTATAAACCTCATAATCCTCTTCTTAAACAATATCTAACTGAATAATATACAAAAACAAGCACGACATGCCAATTCTCTACTAACATGTTCATCAAGTGTTGACTGTAAACCTCTCTTCAGTTTAAAAGGCGGGACCTTCTATTTTGAAAATTCATATCGTTCATCTAAAGGTGACTTTCTAATATGGGCTATTTTTTTGCTGGAATTTTTTTTATAAAACGAAGGTTTTTGAGAAAATTTTTCTGATCTTCAAACGAGTATTTTTAGCATCCAAGTACCATAAGAGTAGTATTATATAAAATAAAAAAGTTTTAACAATGAAACCTCAGTTTTTTACTCAGAAGCTAGTCTTTGAAGTGCTAAAGCCTCAAAATTATCTTGAGTGTCTCGAAAAAACTTTTGCGAATTCCATGGCCTTCTATTACGTCATACAAAACTTTTTCTGCAGGTGGCCTTCTGTTCCGGGTAGCCTTTTATTATAGGATGGCGCTCTAATTTGAGAGAAAGGTTATCGATAATGAATCATGATACTGGTCAATTTCTTCAGAAGAAACTGAAATAAACGAAGATGAAGATGATTATGAAGAAATCCTTTTGGTGCATTTGCTTTCCTGTTCCTTTAAACGTGTTGTACCACTTCTGCAATAATAAATAAACGCTTCAAAGCACTTCAAGCAACTAGCGTATCCAAAAATACGTTCATATTTATTATTTTTGTTTTATATTGCAGGAAGTCGAAACACCTTTCGCTAACGTACGCTCTTCTCTTTAAAAATACAGTTGGTTTTCGTGAAAAACATGCAAAGTTGAGTATAGGAAGAGAGTACGAGGTCGGATGTTTCTAGAATCAGACTGATTTTTGCTTGTCAAAAGTAGTTGTTCTGGATGACTTAAATAGTTGATAGTTAGATTTGAATTGATACAACTACCTACTATCATCTGTTCTACTTCCAAATTTTATTTTTCCTAAAGAATGTCTTTAGATACATCTTTTGCAGAAGCAATTATTTTGATATATTTATTTTTATATTTCTCTATTTTTTTTTGTTCATTCTAATATAGAGATTAATTGTTTTTAGGATTATTTTAACTTTCTGTCACTCTTTTTTTCTGAGTTTTAATCATATGAAATTGATATTGAGTCCAAATATCATAACAGAATTATATAGCAGATAATAGTGGCAGAATGAGTGAATGGAGTCAACTGTAGATATACTTTATAATAGCTTGCAGTATAACTTCAATTTACAGTACACGTAATGATAGGCATTGGCAGTAAAAAAATTTCGACGACTATCATGACTGATATTTTTTTTCTCGAAATTTGGATTTCGTTTCAAATCTTACGACTTATACCATTGTCTAGTAGAGAATACTGAAGTATTGATTACTTTGTTTCTTGAATCATAGTAGATAAATTTAATTACCCGAAAAAGAAACGGAGCTTTTCGATAATTTGTCAGCTTTTCAAGAAGTAATTTGTCATCTCTTGCTATGGCATTCAATAGTTTCATCATTAAAAATAAAATAGACATATTCAAATCCAATTGAAGCTCTCACATTATCTTGAATAGAGAACATAGTTCGATTCAGTGAGTTCTTGCATAATTGAATGAGCGGTTCTTAACAATGACTTTTAAAATTACTTAATACTACTAAAAGCTACTTTCTCTCAAAATTTATCGAATTCCGATTATCTGTTTGCCTATTCAGGATATAGTTTGCAAAATACATATATGATCATGTTTCCGTTGCCTGTCTTATCTATTTTACTTTTTTTTTTTACTCAAGGCGCATTTATCGTTCATTTTTGAATGACGAGCAATAGAATAAAATACAAATAACGGTTTGTATCAAGCTGATTAAGTAAATAAGAAGATTGTTTTCTCGGTAATGTTCGATCAACCTACCCTAATCAGTTGCTGTGAAAATGTATATTTAATCTGTTAGCTACTAGTCAATTTTTATTCAATTATTTTTTCTAGTTATTATATAATTCAGGAAATGACATATTTTAAACTTTCTTATACATATATAAAAAAAGAAAACCTATTCTAGAGAAAAATTGCGTAAATGTGTGCTGCACATGAGAACAAAACAAATATTCGTCTCTTTATCCTTTGTCTTCATATAGCTAAGAATAAATTCAAACTTGATTTTCCTGCAATAGTTATCGTTGATATTCAGTTTTTATGCATATTTTGCCGTTTATTTTTATTGTTATCTAGTGATTCAGCAAGGTTTATGACTTTTTAGTATATCATACATCAATGGAATCATCCTACTAATGCATGAAATCAGTTTTTGCGTATTTCGGAATATTCTTAGCTAAAAATACGGTTTAGCTAATGACATAAGTGAATGAGCGACTTTTGAATGAAATATAAAATTTTAATTTTAACAGCAGCGAGAATTTGTAACAACACAATGTATAAAGAAAGACTATCGAAAATGACAGAATTTACTTTTGCAGAAAAACTGCAAAAGTAAATTCTGGGTGCGGGTGGGTGGGTGTGGGTGTGAGTATGTGGGTGTGGGTGTGGGGTGTGGGTGTGTGTTGGTAGATAAAGGTCTCAATGTTATTTCTACCGACAGTTACACCCACACCCACCCACACCCACGCCCACACCCACCCACACCCACCGACACCAACACCCACACCCCACCCACACCCACACCCCACACCCTAATCGATGACAATGTGCTTCAAGTTGTCATGGATCTTCATCTAATCGGAATACTTCATTATATAAACTATTTGCAATTTGGGAAACGTTATTTTTCTAATAGCCCAATGGTTTTTTTTACCCGGTTCGAATGTATATTTTGTCTTTTTTTCCTCTTCAGTTTTATTGTGTTCATCTGCATATTGTTTCTCTTATTTTTTTCATTTGTTTGAGTAGTTTTCTCTTTCGCTCATAGTATGTTGTTACTGATTCTTTGTTTGTCATATTTGCATTTCTATTAATGCATTGCTGGACGTATTTTTGGAAATTAATTGCATCATGTTTCATTTAGTCAGTTAAAAATTAATATAGTTGGTAGATCGACTACCGAAGACAATTGACTGAATATGAGTTCTTCTGTATATTGATAGTGCTTTCATCGAAATCACAGATACATGTAAAGCGATGGAACGCTTTTTCGTTTTTTTATTCACGTCGACAGAGACGAAGAAAGAAATAGTTATAGGTAAATATTATAATTAAGTTTCAATTATACTACAATACATAGGATTCAGCTTTATCTTGATTTTGTTTTTTTTTCAAATATACAAAGTCAAACAGGCGTAGAAGTTTCATGCTTAAAAGTAACATCTAAAGTGTCATACAAAATTTATTGTACCCAACTTAAATAATTCTTAAAAGGATACATTATTAGTAAAAATACTCAAATATATAAGTTTTATCTGATTTGTTTTTCACGCCTTTTCATTATCTTTTTATTTTAAACATGTCGAAAAATCACATCTAAACCTTTTTTAGTTTTAGATTCCGAAAGAAAACGAGGAAAAAATGAACCACCGTAAAATTTCTAATAACTCACTTTCTGAATAATGATGTCAGTTGATTGTAGTGAATCTTTGATAATGAAAATGGCCTGCGGCTTATGAAATAACGAGATATACACATAGATCTTACCGTGGCAGAACATGAAGTCGTTCGACGAACTTCTTAAAGGCAATGGAATCATTTTTACCGTTATATCTTTATATATTCTTGAAGCCTCCCTCACCAAAGTTGATTTTCGTTAAAAGTGTAAAAATTGAGCTCAATCCATAGAACGACAGTATGAGACCTGATTTTTTTTCAAGAATCACATGACTTTTTATTAGATACTTTGATTTTTGTGCAAAATTTCCGTCATTTCCTGCTTGAAGTATGTTTTTTTAGATAAAATGAAAAACTTTTTTCGCGTTTTCTCAGTTACTGTGTTTCTTTGATCGCACATCCCTGAATTTATAGAGAAGTCTTGCTGAAGACAATGGGTGTTTTTTTCGTCTAAAAGAATGTCAAGATATAGGATATATCAGATTCCTTTTTAAATTAAGCTTTGCTATTATAGAATGAAAGAGTGCTTGTAGATCTCAGCAGTGCGATTCTAAGAAGAAAAGATATTGAATATTTTCTTGTCTAAAAAAACCTAGATGGT